TACTGTGTCTGAGCCCACATAATTATGTTATATATAGGTATATGAGGTACGTGAATGAGAAAAACAACAACATAAAGACTGAATTCAAAAGTGAAAAGAGATTAAAACACCCACTGGACACTTTATTAGGTGCACTTTGCTTCGTATTGGGTTGGACCCTCTTTTTCCTCCATAACTGCCTTAATTCTTCATGGCATAGATTCAACGAGGTGCTGAAAACATTCCTCACAGATTTTGATACGTATTGATACGACACCATCACAAAGTTGCTGCAGTTTTGTTGACTGCATTTCCATAATGAGGATCTAGATGCTCTACTGAGTGAGATCTGGTGACTATCTTGTTCAAGAAACCAGTTTGCATCATGGCACAATTTCTTGCTGGAAGCAGCAATCAGAACATTGTACACTTTTAACCATCTCCATAAAGGTCTGGACATGGGCAGCAACAACACTCACTCAAAGTGTGCTAAGAAAATATCTGCCACAACACCACACCATACTGGCCTGAACTGTTGATACCAGGCAAGATGGATCCAGCTTACACCACATTCTGACTCTACCACGCGAACGATGTCACAGACCTCAAAACCCATCTGACCAGAGGAAATGTTTCTTCTGCTTACCAGTTTTGGTAAGACCCTTCAAATTATATTCAAATTATATTCTCAGTTTCCTGTTCTTAGCTCACAGCTGTAGCCCAGCTGTAATCTTCTGCACACCTTGATTGTAACAAGTGGTTGTTTAAGTTACTGTTGTCTTCCTATCATTCTCCTCTGACCTCTGGCATCAACAAGGCATTTTTGAGAGATGCTGCTCACTGGATGTTTTCTCTTTTTCAGACCATTCTCTTTAAACCCTCGAGATGGTTGTGCAAGTGAATCTCAGTAGATCAACAGTTTCTGAAATGCTCAGACAGCCTCTCTGGCACCAACAACCTTACCATGTTCAAAGTCACTTAAATCTCCTTTCTTTCCCATTCTGATGCTCGATTTGAACTTCAGGAGGTTAAAAAATGCATTGATTTACTGCCATTTGATTGGCTCATTAGATATTTACATTAACAAATAGCTGAACATATGTACCTAATGAAGTGGCTGGTAGTGTAGATTCTACCACTTTTGTGCTAGAACGATTAGATGGACGTATTTGACATTCAGACATTCACCTAATCCAGCTTTGTGTGAGATTCAGTAATATAAACTAGCTTTATGCATAAGTTCTGAGCAGCTTTGAAATCACTTGTATGGAATAACATGTTGGAAAAAGACACAGAGCTCCATCTGTCCCTCCGTTTGACAGAAGTTGCTAAGGCCTGTCATTTATTATTAGCCTTCAGTCTCTTGTTAGGTTTGCTTCTTTTTCTTTGGCTCCTCGCTCTTCCTCTCACCATCATTTCCGTCATACTTTTTGTCCTCTTGCTTGTCATTGCAAAAGTCTTCTTTTCATCACACAGTCACATCACATTAACATCATCAGAACAATGAGCAAATCTTGCCTCGGTCACATCTCTGAGTTTTGTTAACCGTTTTGGCATTCGTCCATCCCTCTCACCTTGCTCGTATTACTCTATGTCCTTGCTTCTGGACTGCTTCAGCTTTTTCCTTTGTGCTTCTCCACGCATGGATCCGCATCGTCTGGTCTCCCTCCCACTTGTCCACCCCCTCCTGTGTCTCCACCTGTGTAACCTACATAAACGATACAGTGTTATTACGGTTTTGCCACAAGTTTCTTTTTGCAGTCTCTTGTGTATGTGTTAGCTCGTACATGCGCAAAGGACAACATGGAAAAGCTCACTTTGAAGACAAGATCTCACACTTTTTTCCCAGTCTCTGCATCCTCATGCTTTCTACAGTTGCCCATGCTTATCATCTACTCAGTTATTAACTATTATTATAATCCTTGCATCAGTAATGTCTGACGTCGTAAAGAATAAAAAGAACAGTAGAAACAAAAACAAACAAAAAATGAGCACAACACTTCAGGGTGAAACTCTCTTCGTTGTTGTGATTTGTACTTGTGAAGACTTTCTGGTGCTCGGCCAATAAGGGAACATCCTGTGCTGGTCCCACTGGTACTATCCCGCTTCACTGGGACGGGAGGGTGGGGGTTGATACCGGGGGTGGGGGAGTGTAGAGGGTGTTTGAGAACCTCAGTGTGTGTGTATGTGTGTGCTTTCATGATACAGAGGAGGAGAGTACTGCAGCAATCTGAGAAAGTAGGTCAGACACCAACTAGTGAGAAACATAGCAGAGGAAAAAAAAGAGGTAGAGAGTAGAGATGGAAAAGAGAGGGGAAAAAAGAAAGAGCATAGATGGTAGAGGAGAAGGAGAGCGGGAGGGAAAACAGACCAGAAAGGACAGCAGATGCTGCAAGAATGACAGACCAAAGCAAAAGAGAAAAACAGGAGCAAATCTAATGATATACATTACCAAAGTATTTGGGCTGCAAAGAGGTAGCCTGTAAAAAAAAAAATGCAATTACACTTTCTTGATTCATTGAGCCAACATTAAACAACATAAAACAACATTACAACCAACGAATGGTTGAAACAATCAAAAAAGAATTACAGGATGGACACCAACTTACTGATTTTCCTGGAAGGTCACGTCTTTGGCTAAATGCTCGTTGGCTAATGTCCTCAATAAATACAACCGCTCACAGTATTAAGCCTTCTGCCCAGTCTGTTTCTGTCATGAAGGCACTTAGAGAAAATATGTGTAGGCTCTCATCCAATTTCCAACCCAAAGAAAAGGGATGGTGGGGGGGAAGGAGACCTTTCAAGAAACATAAGTGGCACTGGTTGCTCTTTTTGCCCAGTTATAAAGCCTCTTCTTATAAACATTTTGCTATTGATATTACATAAGTGCATAATGCCAAAAATACAGGCTGGCACTCACAATATGCTGAGGGCACTCATGGTTCTTATATATATGGACTCCACTCAAGTATGAATTACCTTTCTCTTTTGCTCCTCGGGCCATGGTTGTGTTTTATTATTTATTTGGTAATGCACAAAGTATACTGCATCTATAAATACACTGCAGGGCTTAGGAATGGACCACAATGGGGAAAGACTGTGCAGCAGCCGCTCGCACACTGGTGTCATCACACTACTGTCATTGATTCGCTGACAACTGAACAAGTTACAGTGAAGGGAAAAGATTGGCTTCATATAGTAAACTGCAGATCACGCAGATGAGCTAGAAACAAACTGGAAAACAGAGATGTCTGAAGCGGGACAGTGTGATGGTTTAAATTGGCTTGTTTTTCTTTCTGTCAAGGAAAGCTGCAGAGATTTCTGAAGTGAACAGGCAAACCCATGGGATGCAAAATATTGTAGTATATAGAAAGGACCCAGGTTGTGGAAAGATAAGCAATACATTTCTCAGAAGAGGTTCACAATAACAACATAATAAATCAACAAAAAAGCATGGGAGTTAGTGTGAGTTGTTAGTTTTAATAGGCCAAATGCAACCATAGCATTAAGAATATGAACACCAAGTATTAAGTATTGAAAAGACTCGTCAAAATATCCAATTTAAAGAAACACACACAAGTTGGCCAAATGATATGACTGTGTGAAGGGTAATGTTACCTTAAAGCATCTGCATGATATTTAAATGAGTAGTGAGGTTAATGAAATCTTCATAACAATGGGATTCCAAACAGTACTGTAAAAAACTAACTAAATACACCCAGTGATTGTTTTGGCTAATTTGCAGCGCGACCTTTATCAGGAAAAACTTTAATTAATTAATTGTTTTCTGTGTGTCTCTCACGTCACTGTGAGGAAATTTTGGCCACTCTTCCTTTTATTTTTTTACAGCTCTTTTAAGGTTTCATCACATCATTTCAGTCAGTTTGAGCTCCAGACTTTGGGACGTTGCAACAGATTTGTTGCTGTGTTTGGGGTCACTGTTACATTGTAAAGCCAAGTTTTAGCTGATGGACGAAATGGCCTCGCATTTGACATTTAATAGTTTGGCACATAGATTGGCTCACTGGCTGCAAGCTGCCCAGGTCCCGTGGCTGCAAAACACTTGGCATGAAGTGTTTTTGGTGATGTGTTTGGTTTTCTGCAAATGCGGTGCTGTCTATTTAACCAAACTGTCTTTGGTCTTGTCTGTCTGTAGTTTATTTAGATGCAACTTTGCAAATCTAAATCATGTTGCCAAGTTCTTTTTAGACAGTATTTCTCTTATCAACCCTTTCAAATAAGCCACACCTATTAGTCTTTTTTTCATTGCACCTTCATGAATTTTAAACTTTAACATGCACAGTTGGATTTTGGGGGGAATTTGCTGGGATGTCCACAACTAGGAAGATGGTGACATTGTGTTAACACACACTTGAATGCTCTAGACTGGGAAACTGCCAAAGCCTCTGGTTTTATAGAGGTGCTCACACTTGCTAATGATCAGTTATTTGGGTCAATTTGATTATCAGCACTGGCTGCTAATTACTAAGTAAGGCGTTCTTAGTTTCTTTGCATAGAGCTGAATAAAGTCCTGTGAAAACTTCCTTCTCCACATGAGTGTAATATGGCAGACATATTTTCAGTTATTTATTTTATCCCTTCTGATTATAAGTTCTATTTGTGGACTACATGCTTCTGAAATATTTTTATAGCTTTCTGCACACTTTTTGTTTTCTGGCTAAGATGTGGTAATTAGTTGGAATATGTAGGATACACACTGACATATTAAGACATTTTTAAATATTGAGTTGAGTATTAACTGATAGTATACTATTTAAGGGTATAAGTGTTATACATTCACTGGTTGTTAAATTTAATTTAATGTAATTAAATTGAATGAATAATTAATGCATTTACTTTTGCGGTTGGCTTGAGGTTTTATACTGTTAAAATGCTGACATTTTCTCTGATGTTCTTTGCCTCGCTGGATTTTCATAATTTGACTTTTTTCTTTTGCTCTTTCTCTGATTTCTCTTCCTACATTAACTCTTTTTATTGACCCTTTTCTTCATTCTTTTCAGTATGTGGCTTTTATCTCCCTATTCTTCATCCTCATCTCCATATCCACGTTCTGCATGGAGACGCACGAGGCCTTCAACACCATCCTCAACAAGACAGAGAACGTCACAGTGGGCAACATGACTCGTGAGGAGATCGTTTATGAGGTGGTGACTGACAGCTGGCTGACATATGTGGAAGGTGTGTGTGTCATTTGGTTCACCATTGAGGTCCTGCTTCGAGTCACCTTCTGCCCTGACAAGTTTGAATTCTTCAAAAGCACCCTCAACATCATCGATTTTGTTGCCATCCTGCCCTTCTATCTGGAGGTTGGTCTGAGTGGGCTGTCCTCCAAAGCTGCCAAGGATGTCCTGGGGTTCCTGCGTGTTGTCCGATTTGTTCGTATCCTCCGAATCTTCAAGCTGACTCGCCACTTCGTAGGTCTCCGTGTCCTTGGCCACACCCTGCGTGCCAGTACCAATGAATTCCTCCTGCTCATCATCTTCTTAGCTCTTGGTGTCCTCATCTTTGCCACTATGATCTACTATGCTGAACGAATTGGTGCAGACCCAGATGACCCAACAGCCAGTGCCCATACCAACTTCAAGAACATCCCCATTGGATTTTGGTGGGCGGTTGTGACCATGACCACGCTGGGTTATGGAGATATGTACCCGGAGACATGGTCAGGGATGCTGGTGGGTGCGCTGTGTGCCTTGGCTGGTGTGCTAACCATTGCTATGCCTGTACCTGTCATTGTCAACAACTTCGGCATGTACTACTCTCTGGCTATGGCCAAACAAAAGCTTCCCAAAAAGAAGAACAAACATATCCCCCGAGCGCCACAACCAGGGTCCCCCAACTACTGCAAGCCAGATGCCTTGGCGATGGCTACTGCATCACCACAAAGAATCTTGGGAAATGTCTTAGGAGGAGTGATGGGGTCTGGAGGAATAGGAGGTGACTGTCCTCTTGCCCAAGAAGAAATTATAGAGATCAACAGAGGTGAGTGTTTGTTGTTGTTTTTTAATGCTGCTTATGTTTATCATGAGAACATATGCAATTTGTTTTACTGTTGAAAATATAGAAATGAATAAATTGTGTATGTTCAAGATAAAATTCAAGTTTCACTATGTTGTTTACCACTTTAAGCAATCTAAAACGAACTTGCATGATTGTAATCAATATGACAGTTTGCTCATGGTAGTTTGAAGCGTACAAAAGGATTTTAGACTTTTAACTGAGAATTAACTGAGTACCAAAGTGTCAAGAGAAAGAAGTGGAAGTACGATCAAGAAGAGATGCATAGCTGATTCTTGAGCCACCCTGGAGAAATTGCTGGCCCATCACAACTCATATGTAATTTATGATCAACTGGTAGGTTCACCGTTGCCTTAAGGCCTCCATCTGTCAGGGGGGAAAAAACAAACATTATGGAAGGAAAATGACCTCAATTATCTTTTAAAACAGCTTAATGCATCTCAACTTTGAGCTGACTTCCCGAATTGAGGAAAATCAGCCCACATATTATCTCTCTGGCATTAACAGTGAAATCAGGAGGCGAAGTAATGTGGCTCTTGGCGCGCTTTTTACATGCTGCAGCATCAGGCGTCAGTCATATGCCACAATAATGCACCTTAAATGCATTACTCCAATGGCCTGATCATTAGTGAGTCAGAAAACATTTCTTCAGTGCTTTTACTACATCTTGTCTGCTTGGCTTTTTTCCAGGTATTTGTGGGCGGTGTCTTTTCTTTCTTCTTTTTTTTCTTTTTTCCTTGTTTTTATTAGCAAGTTGTATCAGTCAAACTTTTGATAGCAGACTCCAGACTCGGAAAGTACAATCAAGTAAAAATTTCATTATATGCAAAGCTTGTCTACTAACATGTCTTTGCATGACTCATAGTTCCATATCATTCATATTAATCTTGGTGAGGCCCTCAGCTCATTCACTGCGTAGAACAAGACATTTTCTTCTGGTTGGCTTCCCCTTACAAACAGAAGGATTGACCAGAACATGCTTTATTTTCCTACATTAGAGTAGGACACATTAATTGAATTTTATTAATGCCAGATATATTGTAACATAAAGACCCTATAATGTTAGAAATGACCCCAACAATCAGATGACCCCTTATGAGCAAACACTTGGTGGCAGTGGGAAGGAAAAACCTTTTTTTAACAAGAAGAAACCTCTGGCAGAACCACGTTTAGGGAAGGAAAGCCATCTGCCAACATTAAAGCCTCTCTTTCGATTGGACTCTACTCGGTTTATAGGGTTTTCCATTAGGTAGTATTATCTGGTACCAAGTACTTTGTTAGCCAGGGTTCCAAGCGAGCTTCATCAAGCTTAAAATGTGACGTCGACAGCCTGCGTTCCACTGATTGGCCAGGTAGTGACGGCTCAGGCTGGGTCATGAGAGCGACTCCTTCACAAAAATCAAACAGAGCAAATTTTGAACAAGAGAAATGGTTACAAACAAACCAACACTGGTTTGGTCTTAACCAGAGTCAAGTCGAGTCAAGTACAGCCGAGTAGGCGGAAAAGAGGAATTAGATATGAAATTGTTTTTTGAGTTAAACAAGATGTTTAATTTTGTAGCACAATGATTCTTCTTTGGGTGTTTTTCACTTTCCTTTGCCTCAACTAGATTCTAAGCAGAATGGTGACGCAGCCTCAGCCGCCTTGGCTAATGAGGACTGCCCCACCATCGACCAGGTGCTGAGCCCGGATGAGAGGAGTCCTATTGGGCGAGGCCCCACTCGGGAACGCTACCAGCAGGACAGAGCCTGCTTCCTTCTTAATACCAGGGAATTCCGTGCCACAGATGGGAATGTGCGGAAAGGTATGTTTCACACCAGGAGACGGATATGCAAAACATGCACATCTTATGTAAACAGATCCACACAGCAAGATGTTTGGCACAGTATGATGTAAACATACATTATATATTATATAAGTGCAGAGGCAGCCAATGCAGATAAACTACATATAGGTCATTATACGTTTTGAATGTCACATTCAAACATGCAGGAAAGATGCGCTGGATGGGACAGCACACTATAAACTGAGTTAGGAGACTTCAGTCACAGCTAGCAACAAAACATCCATACATCTACAGTCGTGCATTTACCACACATGCATACACACCAAGTTCTTCTGCTCTGCTCTGTTTGTTTCCATCTCTTCACATTCGTGTTGTCTGTGTTTCCATCACCGCTTGGTATCACATTTTATTTCTTCTGTCGGACAAGAATCTCTGTCCCTCTACCTCTCTCCTTTTCCTTTTTCTTCACAATGCCTCAGCCATTCATATCTTCCATCTTTCCACGGTGTCTGTGAACTTTGTTCTGTGTCCCATAATGTCACATTTATTCATGCTCAAAAACGATCTCTTTCTCTGTCTTCTGGACTCAGACAGTTGACCATGCATTAATTTACTTCTCGTCACTTCTGTTTCTCCCTGTCTGTTTCTCTGTTTCTCTCTCTCCTGCCTTGTGTTGTCCTTTTTATTTACTTTTCCCTCGACCCCTTGACCACTTACCCTCCCAAACTTGCCCCACATCTACCCTCCTGTCCCCGCTCTTTCCCTTTTGAAATCCACGCCCTCATTTCACCCCTTCTTTTCCTTTGTGCTCCACCATAACGCCTTCCCTTTTCGTTGCCCCATGTCCATTATCTTCATGCTCATGATAACCCAACACCTCATTTACTACTGCAATCCAACTACCACCACTGCCACCAACCTGCACTGAAACACTCCCCCACACTCCCTCCAAACTTTCGACACCCCCCTGTTGACAACAAACTAGAGGCAGCAGCCCTGGCACCCAGCCCAGACTCCCCTCTGACTGAGGATTGGTATAAGATGGAGGGGTCTCTGTTACAGCAGGACCTCAATGCAAACTCCACATCTTCCTGGATCAAACCATAGACCAGAGGTAACACTAAAAAAAAAACAAAAAATTTTTTTAATAAAGGAGCTTGTATCCTGGAAACATCCAGAAAGTTTTAATCTGGCTGTCCTAGAGGTAGGATGTTTTTTAATTGCACAAACAGCAGTGTAGTGCCCACTTTAACACAGATGCAGCTGCACATGCTACGCATGACCTCAAAAGATATGCAGATACACCAAATGTTTTCACAGTGTTGTGTCTAAATGTTCAATGGAGTTTGTCCTTTGTGTCACCTGTAAGAAGACTTATCTGTGCCTGAACGCGTGGAATGATGCAAACATTTGAGCTCAGGTTAGGTAGCACTTCAGTGTGAATGTTAAGGTTTGGGTTGCAAAGGGTATTTCGGGGCTCACCTTGTGATTTCAGAGGTATTTCATACAATGAGTCCTAACCTCAGCCCAATGTTGTACTTATTATTATAACTTTGTGAATGACAATCTCAATGAACACTGTACAAGATGTAATAAAAAAGAAAAGAAAAGAAAAAATCTGGAGAGAAAATGTGAAAATTTCGCTGTGATATACACTCAGTAATTACTTGTTTGTCTGTGTGAGAGCTTAAAACCTGCATACAGTCATGAGAGTGCAAGAGCGCATCCATGCGGGTATGCACATGTGCAAATAACACCCAGAAGCTCAAATGAAAAATAACCCCGTTGTTGTGTCCTGTGTCAATAACTAATAAAGCAAGACACTGAAGAAGAACCAATGGGAACAGCGGGTCATGTTGTTGTCTGATGTGCCTCTGTGTTGTTGTTGTCTCTCTCTTCAGGTTGTGTCATATCACGCGTGTGTATGTGCGCTTTTTTCATTCTTACATGTTATACACTGTGTCTCTGTCCTCTCAATGCCGTCTGAGTGTTGTGTTTGTGTTTGTCGTGTGTGGCTTAATTTAGTTTTTTCCCTTCCTATTGTGTTTTACTCCCTACCCCACGGACCTCCACCTTGGCAAACAGAAGTGCACACTGCAATTTAAAAAAAACAATGTTTGACTATAAACAACACCTTTCTATTTACACCTGTATATATAATATGTACATGTACTCTCGCACTGGTTGTATGCACTAACAGTGGCATTTGTCCCTGCTACGCCGTGATGTGGCCACAAGGATTTGCAAAATTACATGTACATATGCACCATTTCTAATCAGCTGGTCTGCACTGATACTTTAACACATTGTGATTGCAGTGCTGGATATCACCTTTCCAAGGCCCAAGGTAACTGGGGTCACTGGAGCCATCTGTGTCAGGGGATATCACTTCGTGAAACATGGCATGCTTAACACTAGCAAACATTTTAAAGAATGCATTAATCAAAAAACAAACAAACAAAAAAATTGACCTACAAATCAGTTATAATACCAGAGTGCTAATTTACAAAATAAGCATGTAATGGATCTGAAATACTATCCCCTGACCGTATAGCTGTGCTTTCAGTGCCTAGTGTAGTCCAAAGATTAGGACCTTTTGTATGAGTACTGTGGAAAAATCAGAAGGAACATAAGCTGCACTTGGTGACTGAAACACTTACCGGCCAGACAGAAAGACAAATGCTATGACAGAGTTGACCGAAAAAGCGGCTTCATGCTGTTTAAGGTAAGCGAGCCTCGAGCTGTCCGAGCCTTTCAGTTAGAGGTTGCTGACATCGCTGCAGTTTTTAATGGTTTTCTATATGTAATATAAAATCTAGGTGCTACAAAGATCCCTCTTTAAAACAAATCAGGAGTCCATTGAGCAAAACAAGTGCTTGGGTTATTAGGATGCTGTGTAGAGCTTGTAATTTGTAGGTAAGTGATGTATAAAAGTCTTTATTGTTTTAGTGTGTATTTTAATGTTGAGCCTTGTGCACTGGGGGAAGAGACTGTACTAAGTGCTTACAGTAAATACCAAATCAATTTGATCTGTTTCTTACTTTCTCTGACACTTGAGTCTCTAGTATCTGATAACAAGATTCCATGTCTATAAGCCCCGTGTTAGACAAATGACCTGGCCAAGGTGATGCCTACCTCTTTCCTATTGGGGGGAAAAAGATAGTTATATAGGAGCATTCAAACTTATCTGACTAATCTGTTAAATTTGTGAATCAGAAGTTTTGAATATCAATTAAATGAACAAAAAGCACTGGGTTTATAACAGTTATGATAGTCCCTGCTCTCCACTTGTTTTTAAAGAGGGATTTCCTCCATGCTGACTAAAAATCATTCTTGTGTGCTTTATTTGTGATTTATTTTGTAGATATATGCATAAGGTGTTTTTGCCAACTTATTTTCTTAGCTTCTCAGATTCTTTTGTTGGATTGTTGGCCATTTGACTTCCTACGCACCCAGTGCCGTATGCATGGCTCACTAAGGTCAAACGGTCAATCACCCCCCTCTGATTGCTCACTCCAAATCACTCCTCCAGACCTTCTTCAAGGAGTTTATATTGGCTTCTGTCTCTCTCTTCCTCTGTCTCTCTTCTTCTCCACACTCTTTTCCTCTATATATGTATATGAGGTGTTTTTTTGTTCTGTTCTGTGTTTCTAACATGCTCTGTGCATCTGTATTACTGTGATGTGTTATCCAGCAGTTTGGTAAAAAAAAAAAAAGAAGTATTTATTTGAATGCTATATTGTTTCGAGGTGTATGTGTGTGGATTGAGTTGATTTATGTTAATTTTAATTATATTTTGCTGTATTCTGTATTTTGTTTTGTTTTTCTCTTGATATTGTGTTTTGTACAAGTTCTTTTTGTTGCTTTGTGTTTTGTGACTTCCCTCGTGTTCTTCCTGTGATCCCCTTTGAGTTTCACCATCACCTGCGATCTGTCTTTTCTGAATCGGAGTGACAAACAAAACTGCCAACAAAACAGCGGAACAAATTAACAGAAAAGTGGTGCAAATCTCGCTGGTTAAAGGCATTCTCAAGAGCATATTTGGCCAAAACGTTCACTACTTATTAGCAAATCCGTACTTATCTGTGCTTTTTATGCATTCATGTTATTACGCTAATTATCATTAGTTTATATGTATGTATATATATATATATATATATATATATATTATATATATATATATATATATATATATATATATATATATATATATATATATATATATATATATATAAGAATGAGTCCAGTGTGCTCATTCTTAGATGAATTGGTTATTTGTTAAGCTAAATGCAACGTGTCACACATTATAATTTAAAGGTCCTTTTGTAGCTGGAAAGAGTTTCAAAATGAACTTCTTTGTAATGTGACATTTCCCACTGTGATCAAAATAGAAAGTGACTCAATAGTCACTCACAACAAGATTTGATTACCGAGGGTACAAAGTGATTTAATTGTGGCTGAGAGGACATTTTTGTTTTGGCCATTTGAAGTTCATACCAAGTAAATACAAAATGGGCTGCTGACAAAGCATAATGCAAGGCAATTAATGATTCCACATAAATTCACTAGTGGTATAAGATTTCTTAAACTTCATGGGGCCTTTCACTACAGCTGATGCAACAACACTGTGATCACAACACAACCTTGTTTGTGGCTGCTTCCTACAAGAAGGGCTCAGTGTATGCATGAAGTGTTTTGGACCAAAAATACAGTGGGAAAGGAAACGTAGTCTTAGATGAATTGGTTATTTGTTAAGCTAAATGCAAAGTGTCACGCATTATAATTTAAAGGTCCTTTTGTAGCTGGAAAGCGTTTTAAATGAACTTCTTTGTTTCCCACTGTAATCAAAATAGAAAGTGACTCAGTAGTCACTCACAACAGGATGTGATTACCGAGGGTACAAAGTGATTTAAATGTGGCTGAGAAGACATTTTTGTTTTGGCCATTTGAAGTTTATACCAAGTTCATACCAAGTAAATACAAAATGGGCTGCTGACAAAGCATAATGCAAGGCAATTAATGATTCCACATAAATTCACTAGTGGTATAAGATTTCTTAAACTTCATGTAATCAACTACAATGTATCAGTGATATCAGAGTATTTGCTGTTGTGTAAACTGTGCGGTTTTGGCCAAATAGTTGTCCAAATTACCTGAACATCGGACGTTACCGTGCACAAGGTGTTGGGTAATTGGTGTTAGATTTTTTAATACTTATTAGCAAATCCGCAGTAAATCTGCAGCATTTTCATGGAAGGATAATATAATTTATCTAGACTTTAAACAGATACGATGCTGAGGTTTACAGGGAAAAAAATGCTCTTCATTGACATTTCATCTGCTCCTTTTTTACCCCATTGTTTTATATTGTTAATTTTGACACAGATTAAAGTTAACTGTTGGCAGAAATATTTTTCCAGCCACCACAGACCTGTCTGTTGTTTCTGTCTGTGCTCGAGGTCATTACCAGAGCGACACGCTAACTCTAAAAGTAACTCCTAAAAGCCTTTTCCTATAACCCGTGTGAAAGTTTTTTATGTGGTAACACTTGTCAGTCCTCTCATGTGTTCTCTTTACGGTTGACACAGTATGTAAAACTCGCTCTACATTGCCATGCATGATCTGATATTTGTAACAGTACCACTGTGTGTGTCTTACTGTGTTCCCCCCATCACACTCTGCAAATATTCTCTCTGAGCCAGATTTTTACCGATACACATGTATGCACAGCGTATATTCACATATATGTACAAGAAGCAGGGACATAAAATATTAATTGGGTTCGACATGAACTGCATACGTCTGACCTACATACTACAAACTAAAGGATGTAGGATGCAGCTGGATGTTATATCTTCTCTAGAAGATATAGTAGGAGCTGTATGTAGTGTATGCACATATTGTGGCTTCAGTAAAGGTCATGACCAAATCAGTACATTTCATTATTGGTAACAGGAGATCATACGATCTTTAAACCATGTAAGAATGAACCAGTGTGTATGTGGCCATTCTTAGAAAAGAATCAAACAGTCAATGACGCTATAAACAGTGATTGAAAACAGGTTATTGCCTTCACACATGCATACAGTACTGTACAGTGTGTTTTTAAGGCTATTTTTTGAGTCAGTCTTAATTTCACATGATTATGTGCTTGGTAAACAGTCTGGCAACAATATTTGCAGTGCTGTCTCTGTTCCTCTGTGTCTTCCCTCGACATAGCCTTCTCCTTGTGTGATTAACACTCATTCTCCATCCCATCCCCAGGCCGCCACTGCAGTGCAAGTGTAACTAAAGTCTGACTCTAGGTAGGTACATACTCCCTCTATAGTGTAAATTAAGTGTGACTTTGGGCAGGAATTATGTCATCACTGAATACAGTGACAGCCAGACTCACCGTTTCCCTTGATAGAGAATCCCAGAGCACAAAACCACAGATGATTGTTGTTGTAAATGCAGCAGATAGCCCAGAGAGGAGGAGAGCAGACTGTGAGAGACTGCAGTGGCCGAGACATGATTAACTTATTTTATTTTCATTTCACAATATTTCTTCTTCTTGGATTTTTTTAAAACAAAGTCTGTGTGTGACAAAAGCAAACTATTGTCAGCTGAACAACCATCACAACCATGTTACCACCTGATCTCATTGCTCTCTATCACTTTCACCTTTCATATAATCAACAAATGGGAACTGCTTTTCTGTGTCTCAATTTCCATTTTTACCGATATGCCATTCGGCAAGTGTTACGAATCACATTAAAAAGCTTGATTGAAGAAATCAGTTTATTAAATGTCAGTGAGATCATATTAAAGCCAGAAATTAAGAAGACCACCATTACCAACTTTATTTGAATATACACTCACGGGCCACTTTATTAGGTACATCTTGCTAATACCGGGTGTGACCCCTTGCTGGTCGATTTTGATGATGACGATGATGATTTTATGATAGGATAACACAGTTGCTGGATATTTCTCTTGCACATCCATGGTGAAAATCTCCTTTTCTACAAAATCCCGAAGGTGCTCATTGTGATGCTGAAGAAACCACTTTGAGATTATTTGAGATTTGTGACATCCTGCTGGAAGCAGCCATCAGAATATTGGTACACTTCTGACCATGTTCATAAAGGGATGGACAACTAAATATCCCCAGCACCATTACACAACCAGCAGCTTGAACCATTCATGGGTTCATGCTGTTTACATCAAATTGTGACCCCATCATCCGAATGGAATCGAGACTCAGGTCAGACAATGTTTTTCCAGTACCCTGTTGTCCAGTTTTAGTGAGCCTGTGGCAATCATATCCTCAGTTTCCGGTTCTTAGCTGACAGGAATGGCACCCGTTTTATTCTTCTGCCACTGTAGTACATCAGCTTTCAGAGATGCTCTTCTGCATACCTCAGTTGTAGCAAGTGTTTATTGTCATCTTGAAGCAGTCTGATCATTGTCCTCTGGCATCAACGAGGCATTTTCACCCAGAGACATGCAGCTCAATAGATATTTTTGCAGTTTTGGACTGTTCTCCATAAACTCTAGAGGTGTTTGTGTGGGAAAATCCCAGTATAGCACCTTCTGAAATCAGACCAGCTTGGTGCTAAGTCACTGGCACCAACAACCATATCCTAAAAGCCTAAATAAACTGATTTGCTGACATGTGGTTGGCTAGTTAGATGCTTGCCATATTTAACAGTTGAAAAGGTGTACTTAATAAAGTGAGTGAGTGTATATAAAACATAGCTATTACGCGAGCACAGTGGAACACTTAGCATGCTGCATGGTGATCTTTAACAATATATAGAAAATACTGGAAGGAATTTGTGACTAAAATCAAAGAATCGACTTTTGTTAAAAGTTCTTATAAAGGATTATTTTTTGTGAACCCCCATAAATCATACGTCATATCTTCAGATATGCAGAGCATTAATCCAAATTAGAAGTTGTCTAATATTCAGCCTTTACTGTTTTTGTAAACCTTCACGATTATGACTATTCTGTTTCCCTTTTTAAAGAAAAGAAAACATCTTTTCTTACATGTGAATCTGAACAGTAAACTTAAAATCATGTTGGATTTCAAGCATACATTGTGCCATAAAAAGATCTTTGCTTGTTAGCTGTAGGAAAGGCACCTTCAGATTATTTCAATTTGACTATTTTAACTGTTAAACAATATTAAGAATAAATAAGCAGAGATGTTTGAGTTTTGATCTTCAACTCTCACTCTGAAAGCACACTATCAAGCGTTGTTCAGTTCCAACAACATACCAGGTTTGTTTATTTTTTCTCCTCCCGTCTTGTACTCAGTCAGCAGTCTTTCTATACATGGCTGCCACTTGATGTAAACTGACAGTTTGTCTTGATGCATTTGCGTGGTATGAGAAAAACGTTCCTCTAACTTAACTTGAGAATGAAGCAGCACCAGATTTGCCAGGCAGCTTTTCAAAAGTGTTTGTGGTATGTTACTCCAAAGATGACCAGTACAGTGACATATTAATGATGCAAATATGCATCATTAATATGTCACTGAGGTACCATCTGACGAAAGTGTTTGAGTAAAAAAAAAAAGAAATACTTTGATTTAAGGTTGGTTATCTAGAGTGGTAGAATCGGCCACTTTGACCCTGAATGTTGTCATATTTTTCCATTGCAACAGGAAGACACAAAGGGTGTCACACTGGATCAGTGGCTGTTCTTTGTTGTCTGACGCAGCCTTATGGTGGATGGAGTTTGACAAAAATTTACATCCATAACTTAAGTGTACAGAAACCACAAACTCTGCTCCAGCATCACAGTGTTAGAGCATTACATTCATTTCAGCTAACATGAGCATATTGCTAGTAAATGTATAAAACTCCACTCACTATAAGTCAGTCAGTCATTGTTAGAGCAGATAGCTGCTATCTAACAATGGGGCCTTTCACTACAGCTGATGCAACAACACTGTGATCACAACACAACCTTGTTTGTGGCTGCTTCCTACAAGAAGGGCTCAGTGTATGCATGAAGTGTTTTGGACCAAAAATACAGTGGGAAAGGAAACGTAGTCTTAGATGAATTGGTTATTTGTTAAGCTAAATGCAAAGTGTCACGCATTATAATTTAAAGGTCCTTTTGTAGCTGGAAAGCGTTTTAAATGAACTTCTTTGTTTCCCACTGTAATCAAAATAGAAAGTGACTCAGTAGTCACTCACAACAGGATGTGATTACCGAGGGTACAAAGTGATTTAAATGTGGCTGAGAGGACATTTTTGTTTTGGCCATTTGAAGTTTATACCAAGTTCATACCAAGTAAATACAAAATGGGCTGCTGACAAAGCATGATATGATTCCACATAAACTTCATGTGATCAACTACAATGTATCAGTGATATCAGAGTATTTGCTGTTGTGTAAACTGCGGTTTTGGCCAAATAGTTGTCCAAATTACCTGAACATCGGACGTTACCGTTCACAAGGTGTTGGGTAATTTATGCAATGGCCTGTTTATTGGTGTTAAATTTTTTAATATCTACAAATCTTTTGCGTTTATGTTTTTTGAGGAAAAAAAGGCATATCATAACTCGCATTTTCTTGTCTTGTCTGTCTTGTCTCTGTCTGTCTGTCCTTTATATGTCTTTATGATTTTCATTTAATATCCTTCATTTTCTTTTCTCTTCACTTTTGTGGTTCTTTTTTTAATTCCTACTTTTAACATCTTCAACCTCATGTTCATGTTTCAAAACTATGAAACCTTCATAAAAAACATTCTGCATATGGGAATTTTTCATATTATCTGTAAACATTTCACTGATTTTCTTTCCATTTATTCGCACATGACATAAAAAAAATACAAACAATTTATTAAACTGATTTATTATTATATTTATTGTCTTAAAGCAACCGGCTATGAAAAATCTCGCAGTCTTAATAACATATCGGGAATGACTGGGTCAGCACTGCGACTCGCTCCTATTACTAGCCCGCCTTTTGAGACCTATGAGGCTCCAGGACCTCTGCGGCGCTGTCGTTCCCCCATCCCCTCCATTTTGTAGCAGAAATTGTGTTAATGATTGGCTGATAAGAGATGCAGCAGATTAGCCATGGACCAATTACGTTGAAGCCTCCATTTGCATTGTACGCCATGCAAATACAATAGCAATAACATACAATGAACTCGAATGTAGAAAGAATGAGATCTTGTCTTGTGAATCAAATGGTTTATGAAGCATGTTAGGTGGAGTTAAATGCAAAATTTAGCTTTAAAGATAAGTGGTTATTTAAATAATTACAAGTAATGTAAAACTGATTGGGGCTGCTTAGTGAATAAAATAGTGCCATGCATCAAGAAGGTGTTATAAAAATGTGCTCAGTTACATTTTCAGATGAATATTTTTGCGAATTCTGGACCAAACTAACTTAGACTCCTAACACTCATACAGTGAAATAATCATGGAGCAAGATACATGATATGAACAAAATTACTGAGCCACATCTCTTAATCTTTGAATTCAGGTGTTTCACGTGTGCCATTGCCACAGCTGGATAAAATCCTTCACATTTTTTAAACAGTTTTTAAGACATTTTGCCTCTCATTCAACAGACTTTTTCCACTTCTAAAAAATGTAATTGGATGCCACCATTGCAATAAGTCAGTCAGTGAAAGGTCTTCCCTCCAAGATAGTCCATAATCAACTGTAAGTTGTTTTGTTGTAATGTGGCCACAAAGCAGGGTCACACATAAAGGTCAATAACCTCCACAGCTCCTCTGGTATTAACATCAGGACAAAAATGGTCAAGTCATAGTCAAGCAGCTCCAGTAAGTGTTATACGTAAGTGGCTTAGTACTTTTGTCCATATTGTGTAATTTAGTTTATTTAGCCAAAGACAAAGAAAAATATATAGATAATATAATAAATATATAGCGAGTGAACACAGCGCCGCGTAAGCATTCCACAATGTTGAAAAAAAAAACTTATCCTATGTAAGTCTCAATTAACACTCAATTCATTTTCATTATTGTGACGTCATTGGGCACTTTATGCTGATAGTTTACACAGCAAAGTTAGGGGATGTCAACAAAATCAGAAACAAATGAAAGTAATACGTGTTTTATTGTACCAAAAGAGCTATCTAATTCTGAGGGTGAACATGTCTCTTGAAAATAATAGTTCTTATATTGTATTGCTGTTAGGAGCCAATACATACGATCATTGTCTCGTTGTCTAATCCTTTGTTAGATGCTTGCACATTCACTTGATCCACTTGCTACTGTTGTTATTCTAGATGTCTAATATAGATAAGCCAATACTCATTAACAAAGAAAAGTATTGTTTCATTAGACACTTTAACTGATTTGAAAAAAAAATTAAGGCTTATGATTAACTTAAGAAAAAATAGCTTAAAAAATCAGATTTTATTGCTTTCCATATTTACTTCCCTGTAACGCTAATTTATTTCCCCAATTATTATATTGTTCCACTGGATTATTTTGCATTGCGTTGTAATATTCCTTCAAATGCACTATCATATAATCGCCACATAACAGCAAAATCTAAACCTTAAATCTACCCACATGTCAGCCAAATCTTTATACCAGTAAGGCAGACATTCACAAGGTCTTTTTTAAAGCTTTTTGATAACAAATTATAGTGAAGGGTGATATGTGAGAAATTTTACCATTCAAATATCTACATATAAGTGGGACTGCTTGGCTCAACGCATGCTAACTGGTTATTCTGAAATGGCCTTTGGCAAAGGAGCAAAATCTTCTGTTTTATGGTAGCAAATGACTGAGTTGGCCTTTGAAGTATAATCAGGACAGTGATATAAATGAAATATGCACTTGTAGGTCTAAAACGTTTTATAGAAATTTAAATGCAAAGTATTTATAAACAAGAAGATTAGAACAAATGTACAATGTCAGATATGGATTACTACTTAATTAACTATACAGTCAAATCAAATGCAAGCACTTTACTAACAATCATTGTTAATTTGCTCACTCTTGAAGCTTGTGTCTCGGCATCAGAAACAGATAATATTACAAAACAAGTATACAATGAAAACCTTGGACCACCTAATCAAACTTGCCTCTTCCTTTTTTCTAAATCTAATTAATTTCTTCCTCACCATTTATGCTTTGAAGGGTTTTTTGACATTTTCTTTAATAATTTCAAATAAACCATCATGTTTAGGTGGGCTGTCGCTATAATTTTACCTTCAGCAATCTCAATCAAAAGCAAAAAAGACAAAACAAAAAAAACGATTTAAAAATAGTGACACATTCACGAATGCAATAAACATGCAACATTACGTTAATGCTGGAAAACATGCTGTGCACATACATATGTAAATACACAGATATATTTTTAATCTAAAACACGCACAGACTTAGCAGGCAATCTCCTCATTATCATTGATTTAGCTATACCAGCTGTAAATGTACAAACGTTATTCAGATGACACGAGCCATTTTTCTTGTTTTATTTCAAGCCAGTATATAGACTTTTTGATGTCCAGGCTGTCATTTTAAATCGCTTTAGTTTTTTAATGATTTTGTATTTTTTTCATGAATACTGTGTATTTCATGGCAAGAAATGACATTTTAATGCCACTGGTTGTCTAAAATAACTATTAAAATAATACAATGTTGTAAATTGTTCATAGGATTCTTAACCAACAGGAACATAGACTGAAGAGAGCAAAAAATAAAAAATCAAAATGCTTCAGAACTAGTTTTTACAGACAATTGTAAAAGGAAAGTATTTCCATACTTGTTTTGAAGTCTTACTATCCACATGCTTCCAGACCCCTTATATTTGTGAACCTAGATATGCAGCGTTTACATGAAAGCTGTGACATCACTTGAATGTTTTCCTTGAATGATGTTTTAGTGTCTGCGTTAGGATAGATTTTGACATTCAGGCACTGTAAGAAGTAATGCTTGCCTGGCTTCATCCGTTGCTGGTTTTGAAGGCCATCGCATATATTTTCAGACCAAAGTAGCGTTAGGTTGATTCACTTCATGATTATGATGTCAGAAAATTACAACATTTTAGTGTTGTCTGAAAATATCCGAAACCGCATGCCGAGATTTAGTTCTCCTGTGAATGAAAGCATTTTTGATAGATACTTGATGTAAAATGTCAAACTGGACTTGTACAGTTAAGATAGGAAAACTCTGGGATAGGTTTTTCAATTAATTTATCCTACAGAGAAGTCTTTTGTGAAGTGAAATGAATCACTGATTGGTCTAGATCACATGCTCAAAGATGTTCTTAGTCCACACAAGCAAATCTTTTGGACTATAAGGTTTGCTCACATCGCTTCTCAGTGCTCGTTAAACCTTTTTTGTGCCCACTTACTGTACTGTATTATCATAGAATGTCTACGCAATCTATAAAATCCCCATTGTGGATGTTATAGTTTGCAGATGCTTTGACTTCGGATGTTATGCAACTTTGTGTAGAATGTAAATTTGTGTTACAGTAAAAGAACATGTCCATCCATCATTTACAATGTCTGCAGGGGATTGTTTTGCTTGAATGCTTTAACTGATTAACAGCGAATGAGGGGAGTACCACACCTCACACAACCTTATCCTAACATTAACACTACAAGAGTACTGCATTTGTTTATATTCAGTTTGTATTGCCTCTGAATCGACTGACTATATGTTTAGTAAAAAGAGAAACGAGTAGTTGTGGCAAATGCAAATAACCTAGAATCCTCCAAAGCACCCATTGTTTAAGTAAACGAAACAGGCAGTATGTTGTAAGTGCCTCTATGAGGCCCATGTAGGCTTAACTTAAAGTTAGATTTAACTAGCTAGACCTTTGATGTAATGCTCAATAGGTCAGTGGTTTTTACTAAATATGTACATATCTGTATCTACATATACATTAAAGCCAAAACCTATGTATGTATACCATATGAGGGGAGGGCAAGAAATTCCATAACCACTGATTCTGATCTCATATGCATGTAAAGTGATGTTTGGCTTTCCCTAAAAATCCTAAAAGTCCCATGCACAAACTTGGTTTCCAGTTATAAATACATACTTTTGAGGTATGTTTGCATTTTTTTTATTATCTTTTTCTTTACTGTTATCACATGATTAGGGTTTTTTTTTTTAAAATCTATGTAATTATCCAGTGACCTGTAATGATGGCATGAAAGAAGGTTCAGAGTGTAAGTTCGGTATTTGCTTTGATAAGAACTGATTTGAGTACATGTGCTTTATGTTAATCGATATAAACGTACAATGAGTATGAATATTTCAGTGATCACGACTAATGTATCAAAAAACGTTTGATAAATGTGCAGCTTTGTGGGAAAATATGCAGGACTGTATTGTAAAAACCTTCTAGAAAGGAAGAGAATGAAGCTGAACTTTGTGCTTTGAGAAGGGTGGAAGTGAAACTGTGAATTCAGTTAAACGCCTGTGTGTGTCACTATTGTGCATAACAAGATAGTTAGACTAACTTGTAGTGGCCATTAAGAGGATGATGAGTGAATAAAATCTCAAAGTCTTGGACATAGCAGAATAAAACAAACAATGTCAATCCCCAACAGCGGAAAAATTAGTTAAACTGTTCCTCGAATTTGCCCTAGGGATCAGATTTATAACTAATATATAATATAACTAGTGGTGTATGCATTAAAATAATGCATACACCACCCTTTAAACAAATCAGGCAGTAATATTTACATTTGTAAAGTGCTGGAGCAATATAAGAACATAGGAATAATGTCAAAGACACCTGTATTTGCTATTTGTGTAATGTTAAAGATATTTCTTGTTGTTCTTTTTTACTTATGCTCTGTTTATAGCTTCGTAGCTATGTTGTGTGGAAATGAGTGAATAAGACAAAGGCACAGTCAGAACTGCATATTTTGTCCTCAAAACATCAGATCCTAAATGAGGCTGTCACAATGTCAGATTTTTCACAATAACAATATTATTGCAATATCTATCAAAATGAAAAAAGAAAACAAAGCAATAACGACGAATCTCATCCTCCTTCAACTTTGTGCACTGTGTATTTTGTGTTTTTGTGTATTTTTGGGCAATACACAAAGTATGAGTCTAAGGCTGTGGAAGATGTCTGCAAACATAACTATACTAAATTGAGGAAAAAGATATTAAAGTGTAATTTATGACCAGACAAATAATATTGTTTTACTGTCCAATAGTGGCTAATTTATATATTTATATTCATACATAGGAACTCTCACTTGACAATAGGAGAGAGTCATATACAGTAATGGTTATATGTCTGCATTTAACACATGTAAAAAAAATACTTTATTGATATTAACAGAATTCAGTGACTTCACTTAATGTCTTGGTTAAATTAAGATGTACTGAGCAGTAATTGTAAGCTTGTGAGCTACATTTACTGCAAAAGTGACTTTTCCTAGTTACTGTGCTGTGTTTTTATTTTTTGGTTTGTTTGGGTTTTTTTGTCTGGCACCTTTCTACTGGATACTGATAGAAGAAGGAAGTCAAATGAAGAGATGAAGGACCCACAGGAAGAGCTTATACAGCATCAACAATGGATAATTGTATTGTACATTAATGTTTGCTGGTGTGACCACAACAGAAGTGTTTTATTTCTTGAAAGATGTTTAATGGCATCACAAAATTTGCTAGATTTGTTAAATGAATGAACTTCATAGTGTGGTGTTGTTGACAAGCATTTTCTGGAATTAGTAGCTGTGTTTTCAAGTGTAGCTTAAGGGTAGGTGTTAAACCCCTGAAACTGTGTCTGGGAGTAATGCCACAATCTCACAATCTGAAGTCCAATAATACTTTTGTGGATGTGAAAACCTCCATGAATGGCATTCAGTATGTTTCTATGTGTCCATGTGTCAAAATGTCAAAAATGTCCTTTTCCGTGAAGTATACAAATCATTCAAATGAAAATGTTTGCACACACGCACTTACACAGACTAGTGAAGAACTGATTAGAGTTTCCCTAATCCTGCTCACTTTGAAATGTTCTGTGCTTTGAAATGTTCTGTGCATAACTCACTCATGTAACAATGACTGCTGTGTTCACTGAAAGTTGAAGTGCAAAGTTGGTCAGTTGGCTGGTAGCAAGTTTCATTCAGTCTATTGTTTTTTTTTTTAATAATGTCAGCTGTCATTTTTATCGTCACCGATACCTGAGTATAAATTATAAATGTGTGATTACAAAAAAGTACAGCAACTCTGCCCATAATAAGCAAAATCTATCCCAACTTAAATCTCACTTATCTCCTTGTGCAGCTCTGGACCACACCCAGCAGCGCTGTCATTTTCGTTTGCTTCCTATACGTCCACTTTGTACTTGCACTCTGCATCTGTGATTTCACCATAGACCCCAGAGTAATATATTCAGTGACTGCTAGAGAACTGTGGTGCGTGCCGCAATGACACAGTCTTCACTCACCACCCATCCTGTTTGCCATATTTGGCTCCTTGCGACATTGTTCCTTTGACACAACGGAGGGGATCCAGCTAACATCACAAATGCAGAATGCAATTTGTCAAAATGGGACTTTACAGGAATGTACTAAAAATAGCAACCTCTACACTCGTGTTTTATGTGCAGAGTTGCAGAACTTAAGTTATATGCAAAGTTACTGTCTGTACATATCTATGAGACAGACTGGTTTTTTTGTAGCTTGTTGTAGATGTCATTACAGTTTAAATGTGTGAACCTCATTCTGACACTGTTAACCTGCAGTTTACAGGTAATAGCAATCCTTGATTATTTTCCTATTCTACATAATATTAACAGAATTAATAACCTGGATTACAAAAGTCCCTATTATTGACATTCAGAATATGACTTTACAACTAAGACTGGTTTATATCAGTTAAGCACTTTTATAAATTAATCAGTTTGTTTATAACGTTTTACTGTGCATACTATTTCACAAACTCTGTGGACCTGATATTAATGGCTTTCTGTTCTTTTCTTTACAGTGTTAAGTTTCTAGCATTCGCCCTCTCTCTAATGAAGAGTCCATAACTGGTAAACACAAATTTGCGGCGGGAGCCACATAACGACAGGTGTGACACGGATGGACAGTTTAAAGGAGATCTTTGGGGTGACAAGAGAGACCAGAGGTTAATCATGAATTAAAAAATCATATGGTCTGCTCCTCACATTGTTACCAAAGCAGCCTCTCGGAACTCCAACCACACTTTTTACAGCTGTCTGACTGACCTTTTCTTTTCCTTTCCTTTGGCAAACTGACTGAGCATTGCACTTACACACTTTTGGGAGAAAAAAGGACCCCTTAGTTCACATTCCAGATGACATCTCTCTGACACTAATACTCGCCATCTTGTATGAAGACCAACTCAGTGCTATCTACAGTACTGAACAACTGAGCAACTTTGAGTTTCTGAAAAAACAAACAAACAAAAAAAAACACGTCTTCAACGGGACTGAATGAACAATGTAGCATCTCTGCTAACATATTGTAGCATTTGTTGGCTGGGAAATAACTTGACTTAACTCATCAACCGTTCACAGAGAGAGGAATTTATGCATTCAAGGGATCTTTTAGATGTCATTTTCCTCTTGGGTTCCTTTTCCAGTTAAAAAAACAAAAACAAAAAACGAGTACACGAGAGACAAAGGATTGGTCTTACTCATTAAAACACCTGGCATTCACACACATATATTTTATATATATATTCATAAATATATATACATATATATGGCCCATTTGGGGGACCCTGTGTGTATATATATATATTGATATGTATATATGTATACATATATATATATATTACACCCATATGGTCCCTTGTTCAAGCTTAGCACGTGTATAGTATGTTTGCCACTGAATCTATGTCTTCCATTAACTTTTATCTGACTGAAACACTGCCCTCCTCACAGCACTGATATCAAAAAAACTACAAACTATACCAAGTGTGAAGCACATGTAAACAAAGCACATGTAGCATCTGCTCAAACATGTCACATATGGCATTTACTGTACATTTATACTCACCTGAAACAGTCACTGCAACAAAATAGTGAGAAAAGACTTGTCTTTATCTCTCATGTACTGACATGGGCTTGCCCAAAGGTCCTGTAGCATGCACTTGCTGAATGACCTTCTTTAATGTGTTGTAGATTGAGGAAATATTCCATTAAGGTTGAGTTTTATACTTGCCCTACAATTCACTGCCCAATAGAACTTACTTATTAAACTGCCACTATCCCTATCCTGATTTGCACATATAGGATATTTTCCCATGTCTGACTGACTCAGCATTCAGCCATGGGGAGTAAAGAGAGGTGAAGTCCTCATCGATCAAGGGATAGCAGCCTTCCTGAATGACAAATAAGACCATACCACTACAAGAACTGTTTTTAATTCACTCTCCAGTGGTTGTAATTTCAATGTTATTTTGAAAGGGACCAATCAGATAAATCTTCTCCCTCAACACAAAGGCTGTCACTGCGAGTCAAGGCACAGCACTCCCTGGACTCATACTGCCCCATCTCTCGCTTGCCCTTGATGTGAACGATTTCACGGGCAAGTGTCAAGATAAAGATGGCCCATTTCGGGGACCCTTACGCGAAGAGTTAAACCAGAAGACGTGGACCAAGAGTAGAGCAAACGCGGAAGTGTACAAAGAGAACAAATCTATATTTTGATAAACAAATCCACAACTCTCCATTACTTTGGAGGAGATTTCTGAGCAGAAAAAAAGTCCAGAATGACAGAAAAAATAGAGTCAGATGCAAATGTGATTTGAGTATTTGGCATCAAGAAATGGAGTCAAAGTCCTATAAAAATACGGAGAGAAAATAATCTGCTATGAGGGGTGTGCAAAGCTGTTTACCCCACAAGCACTGAGAAAATGTTTTCTGAAAGACAATGAGCAATGACAGACTGCACCTACAAAGACATGGGGATGATGGAGGATGGACGATGAGATAAACAAATGGAGAAAAAAAGATAATGCATTTTTGTAACTTTGTTTACCAGCATGACTACTTTGCATGACTGTCTTTTCTGCAAGCCCTTAGTTGAAGACAAGGGTGCTAGAGATACAAAAAAATATATATAAAATTAATTAAAAAAAATGTTATATGCAATTAATGTTTTAAAAAAGATTATAATGAAAGAGAAGAGCTATATTTTGTTTTGAAAAGTTAAAAAAAATGTGAATATTGAAACATGTATGTTTGCAAAGTACACCCTGAACTATGTTTTGTTTGATGAAATCTCTCTGCTACTACTGCCCTACACTCGTCATTCCAGTGTTTTTGACCTTTTCTGTCACTGTTTTATTTTCTAATGCACTGAGCAGTATATTTTTTAACTCTTCTAAGTCAACAGTGGTCGTTCAAGACTTTGCCTATAGCACCTGCGCAAAGGCTTTCTTTCCTGGGATGTTCTTTGTTTTTTTGTTAGGTCCATGTTTTCCTCCTTGATTCATTTGCACAACTTACGTAGCAGCAGCAGCAAGAGCAGCAGCAGTTCTAAAACAGCAGCACTCCATACCACAACTTTGACAGCTTGAATACTACTCATAGTTTGCTTTTTTTCTTTGGCAATAATACAGTAGTTGTCACAAGATTGTAGCAGGTCAAATGGAGAACCTTGAGTCCTTGGAGTATCTTTAAAATCTCAGTGTTAGAGATTTATAAAGGCCTTGGATGTCCCATGGCAGGATTTTGCTAGGATAGGCAATTCTGTTCCATTCATAGAAACATGGGAGTAGATGTGTAGGTTATCCAATAAAGACCAATAACAGTACGAAAGATACTATATTGGCAAATAGTCGGAGATATCAGGTTTGCATGGAACCAACTGCCATTCCAAAATTTGTGTGGTTTTAAGGACTCAGGTGTGTCAATGATGTGCTTGGATGTAGGTGTTTTGCTATTTTCTTTCTAAGATAAAAAAAAAAATCCTAGTATATAGACGACGATAATGTGAACACCTCACAGTGATGTGTACAAACGCATGCATTATGACTTGATAATCTCTCAAGGGGGGGAACAGAGTCTTGACATATTCCCTTAGCCTCCTATCATTGTTTGTCATGAATCCAGTCCTGATAACTATAAACACTGTGCCGTGTTGTAGAGCAGAAACGTCTTCCTCCAAGAGGCAACTGAAAACTACTCACACTCGCAGTGTCAGCATGAGTGTGTAGAGGTAGCTCGTCTTCGTTTTTTTAGATGGTCAGGTCTTTGCATTCGTCACTTACCATGATTATCGTCATCCAGCTGGCTAGTTGGCAGCTTATTACAACAAACAGCACAGTCATGTGAGTACCAATCAAAAAGACCCAGAGCTTCCAAAATGATGTCAGAAAGTGGGAACGAAAGGGTGAGAAATACCAGTGTCCACCAAGGGGAGATTGATAATGATGTAATAAGTAAAAAATAATGTCACTGTTGAGTGCTCTCTAAGCCCCTCATCCTTGTCTTGGTATTCCAAGTGAGTTTCAGGCCCTGCTGGTCCAGGGCTTAGCTCAGGCAGCTGCACGGTTCTTTGTCCATTCCTAGTACATTGCAGTTGGAGGCTCACCAGAATATGAGACTCAGTGGTGTGATGTAGACTGTAGAAGTCCTTCAAAAATTCTGTCGAGTCTACACTGGTTTTACAGGGTCTAGAACTTTTGTCTATTTGCATTAAATGGTCCATGGAATTTCTTTTTTGGTCGCGTATCTTTTAAAAACTCACAATTTCAGTTCCCATTTTGGAAGGCATTAAGCTACCATGGCTTTGATGGTCACAAAGATGTTTATGAATATTTCAGAGGTAAACTTCTTGCAATGGTGCGCACACTTGCAAAAACCTTGTGCTTCACCCAGCTGTTTTTGTTTTTATGGCCAAGTAGTGTCTTTTCCTCTTTTTATTTTTCATGGTTACAGTCTTTATTTCCTTCATTCTCTACGTTGTGGCTGCTCTGCCAATGCCAGGCTGAAAAAGATGTCTTTCCTTTTCCAATGCATAATACTGCCATTTGATTTAGACACGTTTGAAGAGAATGAGTTACAATGTTGAGAGTGCTAAGTCTGTTTTATTTTTACAATCTGTTAAAAATGTTATAAATTTCATGTAGAAACACTCACCGTAACCAAAAGAACAAATTTGCTTTACATGGTAAGGAGGTGCAACTGTTGTGACAATGACTATTATGTATGTGGACATGTCATCTGCAGGTGTTGGGAAAGTGTCATGTGGTCCTTGGATGACACATACTCAGTGGTAACCATTTTCTTTATATGCTCGTTTATGTTTAATATGTTTTTCTGTTTTTCTTTTTTAAGTTGAGGACACGGTATGCAATTTGCACCACGAATGCCACTGATAGACACTTACTGTATGCTCCCTGAGACACAGATATTCTGTCATCAGTTTAGATGATTGCAATGTGTAGTGGCTTTATGGTTTTCCATAGAGTAACTTAGCAATCACACTAATTGAAAAATATTTTATTTTACAAATTAATAATGACAGAGTTGTTATCAATGTTATCATACTAACTACATTTTTCTAACATATATCATATATCTTATTTTAATTAGAAATATAATGATTAATACAAAGTCATACCCAATATACGTTGAACTAACAGTACATAGTATCATTATGCATCCAAAGATGAAGACATATTCATTTTAGAAGCTATCAAACTGTCTAAAACAGACTTAAGTACTAGTCCATTGTACTGCAGTCTAAGTAGGAGAGTGAATGGGGCGAAGAGGTGGTCACTGGATTATCTGGTTGTGACTTATGCCGGATTTTATTTTTGAAATGTTGTAAAACAAAGAACAACTCATCAAGAACTGTATAAAGTATATTTCAATGGAATGTTCATGATCTATCTTTTTATATTTTGAAGAAAAAATAGAAACATATCAATAAAGTGTCATAATTGAACATATTTCTACTATTGAGACTTATAATGTATGAATGTCAATGCGATCTAATGTGAATCTCAATCTTCATAGCAGCTTGAATGAATAACAAACTAAAAGTCATGAGATGCTTTTTCAGAGACATTAAAATTGCTTAAAATCATTGAAATTAACTCAAAATAAATGAAAAAGTAACACCACTCGTGTGTCTGTTTAAGATTTCTGATCAAATGTGGGCGTTTGTGAACACCGGCTGAATATGACTGATAGAGTGACATTTTGCACCGACTGTCACAGTTAACACTGTTTATCAGCCTGTCGGGAACAGGATACCACAATAAAGTGATTGATATAATTTGATATGAAGTGAGAACACAGTGAAATGCAAAGCTGTCCAAGAAACTGGAGACTGACATTGAATTCATGACTGGAAGGACATGGTGTATATCAGTGCCAGCATTTACAAGAAGTTTCTGTTTAAGTCAGTAACTGTTACTTTGAGAAACAGTCACATAATGGCAATCGATAAATTTGAGGTCAGCAGTAACTGTGTCATGATATTTAAGATTGAGGATGTACTCTAAGTGCTATCTTCCCAGCTTGATATCAGATAACTGTAACTTATAATATTCCTGACACTGGATACCAACATATCCCTTCCTGTTCCAAAATGAGAGGAACAGGAATGTCTATAAAGACATGGACGAGTGAGTATGGTGTCGAAGAACTTGACTGGCTTGCACAGAGTCCAGATCAACCTAATAGAACACCTTTGGGATAAATCAGAGTGGAGACTGTGAACAAGGCCTTCGCATCTGACCTAAAAAATGCACTTTTGAAAGAATCACCAAAAACTCCCATAAACACACTCCTAAACCTTGTGGAAAGCCTTCCTAGAAAAGTTGAAGCTGTTATAGCTTCAAAGGGTGGGCCAACATCATATTAAATGCTATGGAATTATCACTCAAGTTATACTGATGAATGTGAAATCTTTGGCAATAAAGTGTATTACTTACTACCTGTAATATTTTATACCTGAACTATGGACTGTTTGGAAGAAAAAAACCCAGATATTTAGAAACCTGGTTGTGAAGCGCCATTTTGAAGCATTTTAGTCACGTGCCTGTTGTTGTTGTTGTTTTTTACCTCGAAGTGACCATATTTGAACGAAGAGCCAGTCTGTTAAGTTATCAGCTAATGCTAGCTGGCTTTGTTAGCAACCTACATCCATATACTGGTATGTGTGCATTAAACAGAGGCAAACACCCATTAATTCAGGCAAACTAACTGACAGATACTAAGTTTTCACTTACTACTAACTAAGTTCTTTGGAGGGGCTTTTACTATAGTTAACAATAAGACACACTGTTTTATTTCGCTAAATGCTTCGGAAAGCAGCAACTCAATTTAGCTGATGTCAAGTAGCAAATAGCTAGCCATTGTCTGTGTCAACATCAGGGACAGCATAAAAGATGGATGTAGTTACCATGATGGTACCCACTGGTTTCTGAGGTCGTGTTTTTTGAAGCCTTGAGGTGAGTGTTTCTTCCGTTGTCATCTGGCTTGCTAAAGAGAAAAAAACTACTAGTGAGGAATATGTCTGACTGTGAAACTGCGCACGCATTGGCTAATGAGTTATGTTTGATAAGAAATATTCAGTGTGTGGATTCATATCACAGACAACTCTTCATTAAAAAAACCAACATATGACCAAAATTAAAACAATATTTTAAAAAATAAACTAATATGGGACTGTACGTCTTTTTTGCAGTCACAGTCACCTATCTAGTAGCCTGTAGACAGAAAGCAGATTTAAGACACTCCTGCAGTGCCTTAATTTTTCCAACCCAGAAGCTACGTCTGTCTTATATGCTGTCTAGGTTTAGTACTCGTTTCTATCACTTTTAACTCAAAGCAGCCTCATTTTGAGTAAAATTTGTTACCGGGAGAAAGTATCTTTAGAAACCAAACCTCTTAAAAGAAAACTTGCGTAGTGGAACAAGATTACTGCATAACATTTGCACTACTGCTGCTTGGAAAATTAAGGGAGTGAAGCTGGTGCAGGGCCACATGCTAAGAAATAAAAATGTGGTCTAATGAATTGGCTGTTCTTTCTACTCATGGTTACCAACTGTCGGTTTCAAACTGTGTTGTGAAATTGTAGTGGTTATGTGTAGCCATCCCATGGGAGTCACAAGATTTAATGACTGTGCTGCATAGCTGCACGAACAGCAGAGTTATACGGCACTATATAGAACCAGGAGCAATCAGGTTATGATGAATATTGCAACACCAAGAATACCACAAAATGATTGATTTCCAAAATTTTAACCCAAAACAAAAAATCTAGCTGAATTCCCTCTTGCATTTTATTGATACTTTATATTCACAAAGCGTTGAAATATTTGTATCTGTATATGCCTGAGTGTATTGGTTTGTAAAACAAATGGTCATCAGGTTCTTAGTAAGCAGACTGTGATCAAATGACAGTGTATTATATCAGCCCGGATGGCAGTTTGTTTTTTTTGCCAACAGCTATTAGAAATGTCTGCAGAGGCCTTTTTCAGTTTTTCTCCTTTGTGCCTAAACATCACCTCCCTCTGGTGGTAAAACATAGTAGTAATCCACTTTGGTAGAGATAGGTTAACATCACAAGTATTGTGTGTGCAGTTAGAAATAATCTGTGGTCCTTTACAATATGTGACACATTACTAAAAACAATAACAGCTTGGTATTCTTCTTCTAGGGCAAATTTATCTATTTTAATATAGTTTTATATTATTTCTTTTTTGTTTATGGGTAACAAATGACTTCTCAGAAGACAGCCCTGTCATTAAATGTAACAATGGCTTGAATCTGATTGTTTCTAGTAGATTATCTCTCTACAGTCATGACGGTCCAAAAAAATAAAAATCCACAAATTTAATAATATTCTTCTCGTATTGTCCGTTTGTACCCCTGTAAGTTGTCACAGACACTTGAATGATTTTCCACCCAACTGCATGAACTAGCAGATCCAAGGTGTAGGCGGTAGCTCTTTTTCCCCCCATGAAGCCTGTTGTGTGGCACAGCTATCGTCAGCAACAGATTGAGAGTCTGGTGGGGGCTGATCCTGATTTAGAGGTGATGGAGGCAGACAAGGGTCCAATTTCCTTTGAACTCAAAGTATCATTATCTGTGAAATGAGGGTGAATATGTGATATAGCAAAATAAAACCTACACTGGTAAATAATTTATTATTGTGCCGCTCCACAAATAGAAAAATGTGAGCCAGTTCACCTAATAGGTTCAGTGACACAAACATTAGGTTTGTGTCACTGAAGACATTTTTGTACATAAAAATAACAAAAGCACGAGATGTATTAAATAAAATAATAATGGATGATGATTTCATTTGTGTTTGCCAACTTGTGGAATAGTTTAGTGGTGGACTTTGTGAAAATCAACCCTAATAATATTTACATAAATGAAGATATGTCAAAAGTTAATTTTTAATATGAGCTTTGTAAGAAATTCAAGTGATTGTGCTTTTACATTTTTGTATACTACAAAATTTATTAAATTTGGTGTAAAAATAAATGACTGTGATGTAAAAAGGAAAACATATTTAGAGCAACTTAGTAACTACAACACATTTGTTGTTGATTACGGTAGTTATACTGTAAAATAACAATTTCATGCTGCCAAACAGATCCAAGTAGTTTATTGTAATTTAACATGGAATTTTGTTGCAGCATATTTCAGTTCACCCCAATCTCAGGCTGCAGCATTGGTTTGAGTGTAATTGGAGGAGCCTACTGAAGACGCTAGAAAATGGAATTAATTAGAAAGCTTTAAAAATATGTTTTCTATATGTTCGTTCTATGACGCTCAAACTCCACAGTTCTGGTTTTTAATCTACGCACATTCAAATCCAGTCATTTCGACTTAATGAAAAACAGTGAGGGTTTTCTGTCATTCACACGCCCATGCTTGTTAGAGAGGGCAATACCATGCAGAGGTGACATTTGATAGGGAGGTTGAAGGTTGACATGCCCCCTAGCTAAAATGGAGGGAAGGGACACGAAGGGGGTGGAGGGGTCCAGCACAGATCAAATTTCAACAGGACAGCATTCCCCCCAAAATTTGAAGGCAGACAACGTGAGGCAGTGAGGGACAGGGTGAGATCCTGGATGTTCCCGGAGCAAATAACTGGAAGTACAGTTTGTGTAAAGTTGATCAGAGTTAAACCTCTGTGTGATAAGTTAGATAGCCAAACAAGGGCTTTGTGCTTGTGACAGGCAGACACGATGATAGAGAGGAAGAGAGACAACCTGATGAGCCGAAGGAAACAAACAATGTGATTTTTCACCCCGTCATTAGCCTCTGCCACCAGCTGTTTTTCTTAGTGAGTAAATTATATTCATTAACTGGGTACTAACATTGTTTGTTGTCTTGCCTTCAGTTCATCTAAAAACAAAACCATGAATTAACTTTTAATGTAATGAAATCTGTCATGAAATGTCAATTTCCCCTCTTTAGTCCTTTGCTGCTAATGCTTATCAACTGAAAACCTATTTCGCTGATGTAATAATCACTCTGGTTTTAAACAGGTTTTCTTTTAAGTCCAGGTGTTCAAAATCTCAAGAGGGTGGTTTGCAGCATTCCCTCGGTTAGGATAATAACAGGGATGGAAAGCAGGGATCCACAGTCCAGTGAAGGAGAAGGCAGAGGGAAAGAGAGCGATGGGGAGAAGGACGAGCATCTCAAGGACCAGCTCGACAGTGAGGAGAAAGGAGAGAAGGAGATCAGGGGAAACGAGAAAGAGAAGAAGAAAGAAAAGCGTCGCTCAGGATCTCTATGGAGGAATGGATGGGCACTGAGTGAAAGACTGGCCATCAATGTATCAGGGATGCGTTATGAAACTCAGCTTCGCACCTTAGCCCAATTCCCTGACTCCATGCTCGGCGACCCCAGACGAAGGTCACGCTACTTTGACCCACTTCGAAATGAGCTCTTCCTGGACCGCAATCGAGCCTGCTTTGATGCCATTCTGTATTTTTACCAGTCAGGGGGTAGGCTTCGGAGGCCTGCAAACATACCCCTGGATATTTTCATGGATGAGCTGATATTCTATGAGCTCGGAGAGGACATCATGAACCGCTTCAAGGAGGACGAAGGTTTTCCAAAAGAAGAGGAGAGGCCTTTGCCATCCAACAGACTCCAGAGAAAACTGTGGATGCTGTTTGAGCACCCAGAGTCCTCATCGGGTGCACGCATCATCGCCATCATTAGTGTGATGGTAATCGTGGTGTCCATCGTCATCTTCTGCCTGGAGACACTTCCTGACCTCAGACATGACAGAGAGGTTGGAAATTTAATTCAAGTTCATGTTTGGGAAGGAAAGGTGTGAAAGATGGATGGTTTTTGCAGGGTTACCTGAAAGACAAAATGGTGGTATCAAGGCACTAAAAGAGAAACCCAAAATCTTGTTGTAAAGTCTTGAATGAAATATATGTGATTGTTTGGGTCAAAGGAAACATAATACTTTGGTAAGCTGTTGTTTAGGTAAACACACACTAGAAGAGTACTACAGTGTGCTAAGAGGAAAAATACTGACATAGGATACTATTGGCCAATATGTCTGGAAGCAGACCAGAGCAAGCGAGAGCTTATGGCGTGATTATTTTAGTCGGCTGTTAAATTTGATACGCTCGGATTCAGGAAGTGTTAAAGGGTACAGGGATTAATGGGTGGGTATTGGAATACAAATAATAGGAAGCATATTCAGACCCGAGAAGACAGTTAAGTGTGTTAATTAAAGGTCACAAGTGACCATACATATAGGCAAAGGTGAGCCAAGGCCTTCCAGGTGGCTTAGAACCAGAGACTAAAAGGTGTCACAGGATGAGCTGCATTGTTTTGGGTCATGTTAACACATTCCTCCAGGACTGCTGTGCTGTGGCAGACTTCCTTTGCACAAGGCAGCTGCCAGGAAACTACTGTAACCTCCTCCTGTTCGAGTCAGCGGTACACTCACTGAACTGCACTGGCAATGTTACACGGCCTCGGCAGCCAGGGCGATGGGAATAGCGATGAAGGTGGAGATGGATGAGGAGTGGTGCAAGTAGACACTCATGTTTCTCTTCAGAGATCTCACTTGGTTAAATATAGTCTTAGGAGAGCCCTTGGAGCGAATCAACACATAGATGTCCACCTTTAGTAATAAACACTGTCACTGACCTGCTACTGAAAGTCATAAGCAATACACTAAGTTTATGTCTACTCTGAGCTTTATATATATTCCACACAACCCATTACAGCATACTAAACACATCTATTTTAATCCATGCAATCCGATTTCATACTGTTAACTGAATGTTTAGTATAAGATGTTTTAAATAGCCACCAGCCAATGCTTGAATATGCAGTGTTATAATAATAAGTGGCACACATGATGGAATGACAGGTGGACCAGAAGAGATAGCTGAATGGAAAAGTGCAGATGCCAAACACTTGCAATGCTGCCAAATGTAAGAACCAATAGCATGGTGGGCGACATACTGTAGTTTAATGTATCAAACACTACCTAACTCAGCAGTATTTTTTAAAGTAAAATACTAGCACAATATACAGTAACAGCTTTGCATTTGAAAGAACATATGTTTACTTAATATGTTTTAGGAAGACTTAGATTATAAAATGCATACCACATTCATATATACATATATATATATATATATATATATATATATATATATAGCTATAGCGACCCACTTAGCTTAGCTTAACTAAGCTTAGCAAAAAGACTGGTCACAACAGGTAACCTGGTGCTATCAAAAGTAACAAATCTTGCCAGCAAACTTAAAGTTTTTTTTTAATTAATTTTAATCCATATAATATTAAAATTAGTTCACTGTTCTATGGATGGCTACCTACCAGATTTTTTGCCATGGTTTTGCATAGTAGTTTGTAGTTAGCACTGTTTCCTTAGAGCAAGACAGTTCTGGTTAGCTGGGACATCTCTGTGTAGAGTTTGAATGTATTCCCCACGCCTCCATGGGTTTTCTACACATTTTCAGCTGAGAGACATACAAATGTATTTTATTGGTAGTTAGAAAATAGATGTAGGTTTGATTTACAACAAATCCTGTGGGACTTTGTGTGTGTAACTTATGCACTTTTAGTTTGATCAAACAATCAAGACACATCCTGTTAATTTTAAGGTGCTGGCAAATGTTTTTGTTACTTAGGTGTTTTTTGATTTTTTTTTTTAAATTATCTTTTGTTTTTACTTCTAACTTCACAAGTATGTTTTACATTTTTCCTGTCTACCCTGTGTCATTCACGCAGGAGCATCACTCCCAAGCAAAGAACATGTCTGAGAACATGCCTGCTGCATCAAGTTTTTTCCACGATCCCTTCTTTATGGTGGAGACTGTGTGCATATGCTGGTTCTCCTTTGAGCTCATCATGCGATTCGCTTGCTCCCCCAGCAAAATGCACTTCTTCAAAGATGTCATGAACATCATTGATTTCAGTGCTATTCTGCCTTATTTTGTCACTCTGGGAACAGAACTGGTCAAAGACAATGATGCCTCTCCAGCCACGTCCTTGGCCATCATCAGGGTCATCAGGCTGGTGAGGGTCTTCAGGATCTTCAAGCTGTCTCGTCACTCTAAGGGCCTCCAGATTCTTGGTCAGACACTGCGGGCAAGCATGCGAGAGCTGGGTCTTCTTATCTTCTTCCTGTTTATTGGCGTCATCCTCTTCTCCAGTGCTGTCTACTTTGCTGAAGCAGACCACAACAAAACAGACTTTGTCAGTATACCACATGGCTTCTGGTGGGCAGTTGTCACCATGACTACAGTAGGCTATGGTGACATGTACCCTGCAACAGTCTGGGGCAAGATGGTGGGCTCTATGTGCGCCATTGCTGGTGTTCTTACTATCTCGTTGCCTGTTCCTGTCATTGTGTCCAACTTCAGCTACTTTTACCATCGAGAGACTGAATGCGAGGACCGAAGTGAGTACACTCATGTCGAAACTGGCCTATGGGAGGATGAGGAGGCTGAACGAGAGGATTTTGAGGAAGATGGCCAGGATCCAGAGGGAGATTATTATGCCAGTGAAGGTATTTGCAGCCCTCTAAATGGGACTTTGCTTGGTGGACTGTGTACAGGACAGAGTATAGAGTACAAGGGAGGAAACATGTATCTGAGGGAACCACTGGTTACTCAAGTTTAGGGAGGAAGTTTTGTATCCTTTGACAAAATCATAAAAGCAAGAAAAGTTCATGATTCACAATTAAATAAAAATGTATTTAAAGGTTCTGAAGTCCTGGCAAGACAAACTAGTGAACCAACAAATGCTAGTTTGTGTCATTTCAATTTAATGCTCATATACCTCCTGACAACCTAATATTGCCTTTGTTATTTGCTGGAACACTAACCAGTCAAATGTCACTGAAAAGCAACTTTTGCATAACACTGGTTTAAAAGACAAAAGTTTTACATTCTCAGGGTTGTGATATTAATGAAATACAAGCTTTTATTTATTATTGCTGTCAGCTTGTGTTTGAGATGACTTCCTGAATGTCTTGTGTCTTGAAACTATAATGTCTTAGTACTTGTGCCTGAAAGTTTGAAATGAAAGCAGACAGATCACAGGCGATATGAATGTCACATCTTTTCAGAACTCAACCAAATACCAGCTGAGCTGTCAATGAGGACAGAGTAAGATCTCTCATACAACACCTTTCACATTCTCAATATTGTTCTATAAGTATAATGTATGCATATTTGATTTTTTTTTTTTTTTTTTAGTTCTGGCTTATATATTACCTAAAATGCCTGTGTTAAATAATTGATTTGACTGCCATGGCAAATGTTCTGTATTTATCTGCTTGATTAATGCATTCAGTGTTTTTGATAAAGATTATATTTTAATAATTTTCTTAAGTTTCCCATTTTGTTTTTTTGTGGTTTCCTTGTGTTGTTTTTTTTAGTCAGTATTTAACAGTTAAGAAAAGGTCTATTACAGCAGTGTTATTTATGACAATGAAATATAACAATCCTTGCTAGCTTAGTCTACTGCGGCTCTGTTTTCACTATTGTGTGTCCATGCCTGACCTTTCCAAGAGCCACTAAGCTGTTATAAGCAATACCTTCAACAACATTGCTGTCAGATTCACAGGAACACATAAGACTTTCCAACACATCACAGTGATGATCCATGGAAGGTATGTGTGCTTATGTTACCTCACTTGTGTAAACTGCTGTAATAATGTGTTTTACTTTGTGTTATTGATGTTAGCTTAACAGTCAGTAAAGGGCAAGTACACTGTAAAAAAAAAAATCCTAAAAAAAACCCTTCTGATTACAAGGCAAACTGCCAACTCTTGAGCCACGTTCGCCCTAAACAACGCCAATAATAATAATTATTTGATGTAAAAAAAAGTTTATGAGAATTATTTTATATATTTTTCCATAGCATTACATTTGAATTTAACAGTTTAATCTTTCAAATAACGGATAAATATTTGTGAAATTATGATACATTTGCGAATGCATTTTATCAATGTAAATATGCAAAAACAAGAAAATTATGTTCTTTTACATTTACAGTCATTTTACGTTAATTTACATTTGAAATGTAAAATCACAGTCTACGTAATTTTAATGATATTCTAGAAAAACATTACAAAACTGTAAAATACACAGTAGAATACTTTTATATTACTTTTTTTTACAGTGTAGATTAAAATAAACCTTTTTTCATTGTCTTTAACAATGGATCCCTGTCTGCTGGAATAGATTAGTCAGCGATGCAATGCTTGGATGACAGTAGATGTCTTTTTGAGTTTCAAACAACTCCTCAAGTAAACTCTATGTTTACTTTATAATAATGGAAAATAGCATGAAATACAAATCTTGTGATCACTTATTTTAATCTTTATAGGGAATGTAATCACTGTTACGGTCACCTGCAATCAGGCCTGAAGTGATGAACAAAGAAAGTGTGCATTTACAATGTCTGTTTATAGATCACAATGAAAAAAAAAAGAACTGATATAAAATGAGAATAATTAAACCTTACAAAAAAAAATCAAATAAATCAAAATATAAATTGTTAAACTCACATAAAACTTTTTTTTAGGGGGATATAAACTGAGAAAATCTGTTGGCCTAAGACGAGGCAAAATTTCATTAGGCACAAAAAAACAATAACTGTGAAAAAAAAAAGACGATAGAGACGTTTTGGCTTTATTTTTGGGGAGCTGTCGCATCGTCCATGTTTTCTACAGTCATTGAAAAAAACATACACCCACACACTTGGTCTACCTCTCATTGGATTTTGTACCACCAGAGGGTGCTCATGCTTTCACTTCAACACGCTTGTTTTCCCACTTCTACTTTCCCGGTCTGTGTACTTGGTAAATACATGCTTGCTTTTTTAAGTACATTCTGGTTTGTTGAACCATTTAATAAGGTTGCTCAATCTTTTCATGACAAATTTGACAACAAATATTTATATCATGTTTGTTTTAATTCAGAATTTCTCCCCAATAAGATAAACACACTTGAGTTGTACAAACAGAAACCTCTTGGGCTTCCCCAGCACATCTGTGTTAGGGAACCTTCAGAAACATCACATGTCAAAATCAGCAGAATGTTACAAACATGATTTCAAAGTACAGTTACAGTTTTTGAAATGTAAAAAAAATAATAAATAACAATTTGAAATCCACAATACATAGTAATAAATAAATAACTTACATTAGTATTGCCTCCGCAAAAACATGTTGAGAACAAATAACAGAAAGCTACTCATTTCAAAACTAAATCAAGTTTACAGGCTGAATCTAAAAACATATATAAAGGTGCCGATCTGTGAGAAGTCTGTGCAGTTCATTCTTTTATTTGTCCATAGAAAACTGAGGACTGCCCATAGAATTTAGACCCATTCCAAGAAGGTCATCAGAGTCCACGTTAAAAAGTCTCTGATTGTTTGGCATCTGCTCAGATACGCTATCCGTTTTCAAGTTATTCCTCAGTGGTAGGAACCGTGTAAAGGGAAGTGCGTGTCGATCTGGGGAATGTCTTGATGCCAGTGACATGGGAAATCCATATTGTGAGGAAATGAAACGGGTGTATCCGTCAGCCAGCAGCATTTCTCTGAAGGTGCAGCTGGTTTCTGAATAGTGACTCTGAAAATAGTGTTAAAATATTGTTAAGATTTGATAGAAAGTGATGCAAAAAAGGAGGAATCAGTTTTCGGTGTTATAGCTTACCTGCCCTTTCAGATTGCCTTCGCTATCCATACAGAGAAAAAGAGATGATGATGGTCCTTTAATGATAACATGGCCTGGTTTAACTGATTTCAGCTGCAGCAAACCTGAAAATACAGAAATAGTGATAATAAAAATTAGATTTGTACATAGGCCTCAAATTATCCACTGTCTTTTGTGGATGGAAGTCAGTGCCAAATATGCAATCTGTTGCGAGCTTATCCTCCTAATACTCACTGTAAGGTGTCTGAGCATCACTTCCTGTGACTCTCCCATCCATGTTCATCTGCAAATACATCCCACGTCTGTGGTTATCTGCAAAAAGAAGCAATGAAGGAAAGTAATCAGAAACATTTGAGTTTTATAAGAGTGACATCGCCTCGTTTGTATTTTTGCGCATGCATTCAATTATTCTGTGAATTGCTGCAATGAAAAAATGTTTAAATACCTGTGTAAAGATGCACTTCTCTGACTTGATTATTAAAGGATAAAAGCGGGTTGGAGTCAGGGAGATAAAACGACAGAGAGACAGGAAGTGGAATGATTAAGAGAAGAGAAGACAGGTGAAAAAACAAAGGCATTTGGGCAAAAAAAGATTGACGAAGCTTTAAGATAAAGAGATGAATAAATAAGAGATAAATAAAAATAAATAGATTTGCAAAGATGAAAAAAATAAATAAATATTAAATAAGAAATATACCACTGTGCACTAGTGACTCCAGGAGCAAGTTTTGGCCCTTATAAAGGAGCTTGGAGAAGGAGGTCCTACTTCATGACCGCATGAGTCAGACATTTCTACATAATTAGTGTGATTGAATGCTGAGGGGAAAACCTTTGCTCTCATACTGTGTATGGACTTCTCAGATCACTTACAGTAAGAGTTGTTGTAAAGTTGTGTTTTTTTGGACTCCCACAGGTTCAAGTGGACTAAGTATTTTCTGAGGCATCATGCACGTGTGCAACATGTATACATAATTATGTTAACCAGTGATTTCATCACTTAACTCAACTTAATCACAATATTTACCAACACCTGAATTTTAGTCTTTTTTTGCACAGAACACATTTTGATATGAATTAGTATTTAAACAACTGCTTCTGTTCATATTAATTGAAGCCCTACACCTTACAGAACCTCCTTATGTGAGGAATTTTTAGTATTGCTTGGAATTTGCAATTCATGACTTCTTGATTAGATAGAGCATCACATATACTCAGTATATTTCAAAATACCTTGATTACACAACAATACATTGGAGCAATTCTTTCCTTTTCATAGTTTTCCTTGAAATATTGTAGTGAAAATTGACCGGAGCACAACACTAATTTTGCTTCGTCACATGTGGACGAGTGTGCTGTTTGCTTTTCCATTCATCCCTCCAATTATACTTTTAAAAACTGCAAGAAAATATAACAGGAAGTGTCTGCGTCATCTCCCGAATGAATAATAGCAATGAATTGGGAGTGGGAAGTGACCAAGTGTGTTTTGAGTTTTATGGTGTTTATCTTATTTTGATATGCGTGTGTTTGAGAGAGAATGGGGGGGACGAGTGGGTGAAGCAGATTTATAAGCAGCCGGAGTGTTTACAGGAATGCAGCTGTGCAGTCACAAGAGAGGCCTCACGTCAGATCGGAAACTCTCCAGTTAGGAAAAGGTGCATCACGGTGAAACGTCTTCAAACTGCACCATCACTTATTTCACTGCATTGTCATACTGAATCGGTCAGCTAAGAATGTGAAGCATCTGCAAACACTACCGTTAAGGCCAAAGAAATAATTGATGATGCTTTCTTCAAAGCTCTGATTTACTACTGATCCATCTCCAACTTCTATAAAATAAGTAATAGATTTAGGTAAATAAATGTCTCTGTTTTATATGGAAAACTCTTCATGCTGTTTCCCAATCAAATGGTACAAATACACACAGAACATAGTCAGAAACACTTCAAAATATTCCTTAATGTTTATGCTGGATTTTCCTGTTTACTTTTTAAGCTTCCAGCAAATTGGGGTGTAAGTCCCATCAGTGTGTGTGCGAGAAGTACTTGTAAGAAAAACCCATCATGCTCTTAATTTAAGCACGTTTTTCCCCACCCTCACATATTAAGGATCTTTATGAATGGGTCAATATATTTACAGGTGATGAGGGTGAGTATTCCAATGAATAGAAATCAAACTAAAACTACCCCAGTTAATTACATAAATTAAAATCATTCTTTTTTGTCTCACACTTTTTATGGTATCCTGAAATATGCAAATAGACTCATTTAGACTGCGTATGTTCGATGGTTTTATTCCCATAACCTAAAATAATGAGTTATGGAAGTGAAACGATTGGAAAAATATGTTCTGCCTCTGTGTTCTCACCTTAAAAAAAACAATCTGTATTTGTCCAACTGTTTGCGATAAACGGCCCTGCACTATTTATAACTTCCACTATAATCCGCCATCTGCTTTGGCTCATTTCCAGTCATGTGGTGCTAAATTTACCCTGTAACATAGGCTGCAATTATAGTGTCACTACAGTAATCTCTTTGCTCTAATATAATATTAAAAACCAGGCTGTTTACATATCACCAACATGTCTTATTATAGATCACTCTGTTATGGACCAAATTGCAGGCAAGCACGACAGGAACATAAATGTTAAAAAAAAAGTGCTACCATGCAACTTCCCAATTTGATTACTTACATAAAGCATCTATTTTTTTGCTTTACAAACTCAATTTTATCCATCTACAGTGCATACAGTACACTAATTTGCTTAAACAGAACAGACATTGTCATTTATTACTAAATATTATTTAATATAAAGTCAGATTCAAGATTTCTATTTCCTTTCATGTACATATTAGAAGCAAAAGTCTTTACAAAGGAAATTTTGGATGTTGTTTTGCCATATATCAGAAAATGTTATGGATAGCCATAAAAAGTCAATTTCTCTCATTTATTTCAGTATAAAAATGTTCCTTAATGAAACAGTGAAAATGGGAAAAAATGAAACAATTTTGTGAGATGCATATTAACTTTAACATTTTTACTGGAAAACATAATTTACCATTAAAACGTTTAAGTGACTGATATCACTATGAAATCTCCCCACTGATGAACTCACATTAAGAAAGTTTTGTAACTTTTCTAGAATTTTCCAGTCATCGTTTTATCTAATTTAAAGTGCCAGAAATTGAAAATGTGTGGTAAATATAAATGTAAATATATATATTTTAGTCTGATAAACATATTTCTTACTAAGAGCTTCATAACTATTGACTCACCCGCATGTGATCTTCTGTGGGCAGGCTGTGTGAAGGCGAAACTCTGAAATAACTCCTTCAATAACATTCATACAGGTATGTTTGTTTGTTTTTAATTACAGCTTTTACAATCATTATCATTATTGTTATCATATTATAATCAATTATCATCACTACTCTCCAATAATATGAATTGAAATCATAACACAATTTGTTGTCCAAAATGTACACATACAAGTAGCATATCTTAAATGTCCATAATTTAAAACATATTTCCTTTGTCAACCTAAAATGAAATTACAGTCAGTCTTAAAACTAAGTATGAAATGAACGTACAGTTTAATACGCACACATACATACTGTACATACATACATACATACATACAAACAATAGCAGTTATCATAAAAAATGATAAAAATAAAATACACACATTTTACAAAGTCCTGCTTTCACATCATTTGATGATCGATATCATGACGTTCACTCTAAAATGGTTGAATTTGGCATGCATATTAACACAAATGCTCCGTAACTCAAGTCATTTTCCCCCAGTTTAAACAGGATTTTGTCATAAAGCACTTTGCTAATTGTCTCATTGTCTGTCCTATTCACATTTGTGCATCTCACCTCCGTTATGGCTTAAGAACATACATATCGTCCTCCTTGTGTACTCCTACATTCTGGCCTTAAACCTCCCCCCTAGCCACACCATACTGTATTGTGATGTTACTTGGCGTTGTTGAGTATGTTCTATAATCAATCTAAATCGCAGTCAGACCAACTTAAAGGATGCGTGTTGGACTATTGTTCTCTTGATAGGAACAGGAATGCATTTTCCAGTTTAAAAACTATAAATTCATTGTGTCAATATTGCCGTCTTACACTCAAAAAACCAAAAAAAGGAAAAACAGAAGATGAATTCACGATAGGCATTGGTCACTTTCTACAGGCCACTTTCTACAGAATCAAACAGCATCATGCCACAACTATGGATCGAAAGAGAGAGAGAGAGAGAGAGAGAAAGAGAGAGCGAGACTGATGGTAAAACAGACATTCACTCCATTTTTAACATCTTTAAATCATTCACTCTGTATCTTTGATTTTTCGAGACATGTGGCTCGAAGGTTGTTGGTCATCTTCTAGTGTCCTTTTTGTTTCGTTTTTTTGTCTTTTGTTCCTCAGGTTTTTTTTCCTCTAAAATGTGTTTTTCCTTGGGTTGATTTGGGGGCGGGGTTCTATGAAAATATAAGAAAAGACATTTAAAGAGTCATAATGGCACCGTATAGACGTGACTGATGTGGTGTCTGCTCAAGCTATTTTTAGCTATGATCAATCAGAGTGCTTTTCTCACCTGGTGTGCTTATTTAATTCTTTATTTCTTTTTTTTTTTAGCAGGAATATGTTCTCACAGACCCCGACTCTGCTCTTGGACCAGAGTTTGCTGACAGGGGAAAAAAAGGTGATTAGTCCTTGTTAAATATACAAGACAAACAGATACAAGTCAGTAAAGCAAAACATTACTGATGTTATTAAAAAAAACGGCACTGCTAAGCTTTAAATTCTGTATTCCAAATATAAACTATTAAGAAACACAGCATCCTAGGGAAACACCGATTTTGCTCTGTTAAGCTAATAAAGCTTACTGTTCCTCAGGAAAAACCAACTACTGGCTATAGTTTCATATTTACTGTAAAGCAAATCAACTTCTCATCTACTGCTCTGCATGAAATTAACAGAGATATCCAGTATTTCTTTAAAAAACTGTTTCTTGTTCTTTTTCTTCATAACCAATGAAACTGCTAAATTGTTATTATCACTGTAGGAAGTAGGAGCATTTGCAAGACTTTGTTTATATTTCTGCATAATGCGTTTTTAATATAAAAGTCTTGCATCACCATTCATTGCTTTATATTTTGCAAAGAAAATGGGAAATAGGTGCAGCTGCTGTTTCTCTTCCTTAAGAGCCGTGAAGAAGCCATTCTTAAGAAAGTGAAACAGGGAGTAAGGATGAGATATGTGACATTTTTGGAGTGCTGAATCCAAACTTGAAAATTTTGGTCCAAACCATATCAATGTCTACAGACATCTTTAGTTTCATTGGTTATGAAGAAAAAGAACAGGAAACCGTTTTCTAAAGAAATACTGGATATTTCTGTTAATTTCATCTAAAACATGGTGGAGGCATTTCAGCCAATGGTGTTGGAGCTCTTTTCAAAATAAGAAAAGGATCATCAGATCCACCATGCGA